CAAACCACCCAGTTGAGCCATATGTCAACCCTGCATGGTCAGTCTCTCCAAAATTGAAAGGGAAAGCAAAATGAACCAAGAATGCAAGAGCCACTCCTAAGGGATACAAAATAAACAAACAAACAAACAAAAGTGCAACTTATTGCCTGGTGAATTGTTGAATTCGAGTATTAAGTGTTTTTTTTTTACTGAACGTTTTTAGGAACAAAAAGTCAAAGAGAAAGACAACTTGGGGTAAATATTTTCCCCTGTCCAGAGTTTTCTTTCTTTAAATTTATACAAATAAGTAGGCCTTTGTATATTCAGAGACTATATTCATATATAGTAAATAGGAAAGAGAATTTTTTTAAAAATATTTTTATTATGTTTTAGCTCCTCTGGTTGATGCCAGGGGTTCAGAAATAAAGGGAATCCAAGGGCACTGGATTCAAGGCAGTTCAGAGTCTGGCTGTGAGTGCTGCGTGTGAGCAGAGGAGTATGGTGAGGGTTTGCCGTACAGGGGCACATGGTACATTTTGGACTGGGGGTGCAATGAGTTTGCTTTTTCGGGGGACAGTATGGCTAACTCGTTCTGAGTAAAGCAAGGAAGTCTTAAGAAAAAATAAGATTAATGATTTGATCTGGATCTTGAAAGAAACAGTATTTTCCAGAGCAATAAGAAACAGGGAAACATTGGTAGATTTTAGGCAGTGAAAGGATGTGATATAAATATGAGCCAGGAATCTAGAACAGCCTGGAGGGGCTTGAGCTGCTGACCTGGACTCACATCTGTCAGATCTTTATTTTGACCTGCATGGCTTCCTGGTCTTTCTTCTTCCTTTGCATCTTAGCAACCTACATGCTGGTCCTTAAGAAAGGGTACTTTACAGTAACTATCCTAATATGACATTTACATGTTTCTTTATCAACTGTCACCTCCACATTAGATGTGAGACTGGGTCTAGATTAACATCTGCTGTATTTCAGTATGGAGATCAGCGTCTGATACTCTGCTGGAGCTTATGACATAAACATTTAGGGAAACACTTAATGAGATACATTGCCGTAACAATGAACATGCAGTATCTCATTGCTCTCTTATTAAACAAGGTGACAGGTCCAAAAGGCATATGCATACGTTGTTAGAAACAGCTCTGTGGTTCAAGGCAATATTTTCTTTCTTGACATTTTCTCTCATTCACCCCGCAAAATCCTGTGACATAGGTGGAACATTCCAGGTAATCAAGGAAAGATAAAATAGGGCATACCTAAATTAGAGCCAGAAATATTTTCATTCAGATCTTCAAAGCTTTGATCTTTCTGGTTTTAGGAAAAGTAAAGAATTGCTTCAATCACGAGTAAAAATCACGAAATCCTTAAAAAAACGGAGCCGGCTTTTTTATGCAGGGTCCAGACTATTTTTACATATATTGCAAATTTAATTCATGAACCAAGCTGTTCTATAGACTCATTTGAAAATCATCACCAATTGTGAAAGTCATTACAGTTAGCTTTGAAAATCTACCCTTCATTATACTGGCTTCCTAATGTTAATGATTATGGCAGAGATGAAAAGATGCTGGTCCACGACCCTTGCTGGCTATAATTAAAGATGTCTAGAACAGCCTACTCTCGGAGAAGCAGAGCATTTTGGAGGGTGAAGAGTTGAAGACGGCTTGGGTATTTTTGTGTGCTGAGGATTGGTTGGGGGCTGAAGAGGATTACTGAGAGGCCTACTTAATGGGACAACATACAAGTGAGGAAAATGCCAGGGATTCCTTGGCTCATCAGATAATACAGAGAAACTAAAAATTACAGAAGCACTTTGGCTCAGGAGCTGGGGGAGTGCTGCCAAGTTCTGGAGGCATTCTCCAGATCTCCCAGGAACACTGGGCAGCCGGTGGGACCACAGCCCACCTTTCTAGGACTTGGCTCTGATCATAGTTAAATTGAAGGGGGCAAAAACAACATCCTTGGCTAAGAAACACTGAGGCTCCTTTTTCTATAAATGAAGAATAAATACAGATAGAAGATAAAAACTGCTTTCACAATAAACTTGCTAGCATCTTAGCCTGAAAACAATTTATTGTTATGTTTCTGCACACACAGAAAATGCCAGCCAAAAGTCCAGATGTTTGCTGAACATGTTCACAGTATGGATCTAAAGGAAAAGAATGCGTATTATTACCGGCTTTTTCCTATTTACATCTGAGCATTACATCTGAGCACAGTCAAAGATACAGGGATATTCAGCAGGATTAGGAATATTTGGAGGATGTTCTGGGCCCAGCACAATCCAGTATGGAATATCCACCAAAAAGAAAAAAAATAATAAAAAGAAACTAACAAGGAAACAAGCAAGCAACTCTAGGCAGGATAGGAAAACTTTCTTGTCCATATAGAACACACTCCATTGATAGTTTTATTTTAGATATTCCATAGCTTTGTTCAGAAGCCCTGGCACAAATGAACGCATTTCTTTTTTCACTTTCTTAGGAGTAACACTGCCAATGCATAGACACAATCTTAATGTTCCATTTGCTATGAAAGTGAACGAAGCTTGGCTGCTCTTTGCTCCTAGACAATATGGCTAAACGGAAACTACAGCATTTGTTACACAGCCACAAGAAAATCTTCACCTTTCTCTGGATAGGAATGGAAATTTTTGCATGAAACTTTGCTGTTCTATCACATTCCTATATTGTTTTTATTAATATCAATTCTCCCCCATTTCTCCCCCATTTCATTGTTTGGGGTCATATATATATTTTTGCTAGTTCATGATGCCATTTTATGTCTGATTTTGCAAATTTGCATATCCCTATATATACATGAAAATAATCTTTCCTTTCAATAATGTATAAAACCTTTGCAATCATCAGTAATTTCCTAAAATATCATGCATCAGGGGTCAGTAACCATGGAGTATGAGCATCGTGTCCATGAGGTATCTAAAGCTTAGGAAGATAGGACCTCTGTCGAGACCCTGAAATTTGTTGCCTTGCCTTGATGGTCAGCCAATTCTTGCCCTTCATCCCTCCTTAGAGTTTCTAACCATGCTCATAATATTTCACATGCTCAGATATTCCTCAGACTTTGTACAAACTCCTTAGTGTAGTTTTCAAGACTCTTCATAATGGAACCCAGACCCACTTTCAAACCTATTTTGTGCCAGGTCCTCATGTAGTCTGTGATTCCTCCATCCATCCATCTATCCATTCAGGCAACCACTTAAAAAATTTGTGTGAGCATCTACAATTTTCAGGCAAAGAACCAAGTGCTGGGGGTACAATGATGTGTAACAGACACATTTCCACGTAGAGACAAGTAAAGAAGTAGTTACAACGGCAGGGGACACATGGGAGGCTTCTAACACAGGCTTGGGCGGGTGGGATGGCCACAGATGCCTTCCAAGAATATTAACATCTAAGCTGAGACCCAGAGGCTGAATAGGAGTGAAGCAGCCAATGTACAGTGTAGTAGTGACTAGAACTCTAGAAGAGAAAAGGGTCTTCTCAATGTCTTACAAAAAGGAAAATTCTTAAAGAACTGGAAGAATTTCAAGATGGCTGGAGTGTAAGGCTGTGCTGCAGAATTAATTATTTGTATTTCTCCAATGTGTCCTGCTCCTTCTTTCCTCTGTCCCATCTCCCAGGAGGTGGGGGGTTCTCCTCACTATCAGTGATGATCTCTCAGTCATCACTTCATGCATCTAAGGTTGTCCTCCCCGATCACAATGTCACCTCGGAGAAACTTGCATGGCACCTCCTCCCTAGTACACTCACAGTGTTTCTCGTGTTAAATAGTCACGACACCTGCCTTCAGCTCTGCATGCTGTGACGGTGAGGATTTTGAGTCCTCATCTTTTGTTTTCCTGACTCCTAGCACAGAGCAAGGCGCACAGTAGATATACTGACTTTTGAGTGAAAGGAGTAGACATAGTGAAAATGTTGTCTTTCATTCTTGCCACTCATCTGCAGATGCATGGGTCTGGACTGTAAGATAGGCGATCTTCTCCAGACATGTATTGAGGAATGAAATTAATTCAAAGCCTCCCAGTGAAAACATGAATGACTCATGGGATCTTTATCTTCTCCAGATAACAGAAAGGGAACAGTGACAGAACCACAACGTTGTTCGTTAAAAGAGCCTATGTAGACCATATAGCCTTCTGGGAAGAATAATTAATTAGATCGGGGTAGAGAGAGAATGGAAAGAAATGCAAATATTTGATCCTTTTTTGAATGAGGGGACAGAGTTCTTTTTAATGTGCAAAGCAGATTTTAGGAAATCTTTGGAGACCTGGCCCATCAGAAAAAGGAACACAAAGCAGGATATTGGCAGAGGAGTGCCTTTTTCTTTACACAGTGTCTTCGTTTAGAAATAACTTTTCTTTTCAAATTAAAGGGGAACATATTATAATAAGCAAGCTTCGTTAGATCAGAGGGGTGCCAACAGACACCCTCTCCTAAAGGTGCATAAATTTAGGAAAGCAAGAGGAAGAGTGAGAACACAAGCTACCTAGGAAGGTGAGTGATGGTGGTGCTTAAGAGAGGTGGTGTGTTGTGTCGTCACAGCCTCCCTGGGCTGGAGGGACCTCCAGAGGTTCTGGGGGAAAAACATCCTTGTAGTTACCTTGCTAAGGAAGTAACAGATACATTACAAAGGGAGGGTATTCTCTCAGAAGGTGCTATCCACTTATAGAAACTTGGATGTGCTTTCTATATATTTCACTTCTTATTAACAGTAATACTCTCCTCTCAGAAAGCTCCTGTGGCATGAAAAAAAAATACACGCTAATTGTGATACTCAGAAAATAACATAACCTCTTTCAAAGAGGAATATCAACCAAAAGAACAGACCAGGTATGTGGCTTCATTGGCATTTCACGGCTACAAGTTTGAAACCACCCTGCATAAATTTTGTGAACATGCCAAACCCTCCAAGAGACACATGCTTTGGCCACTCGACACAGCACCAATCATTCTCTTAGCATATTGTACGGCTGACAAAACCCATACCTTCCACGGTCGCTCTCTTGGGCTGAATGGTGATGGCTCCTTCTGCGATATCTTCGTGCTGGTGCAGTGGGTTTATCTTGGATCCCCAGCTGTCGGATCCCACCCAGAGAAAATGGCCCACTTGGTCAGCTCTTTTGGCTGCCGCAAGGATCTGCCTGTGAAGAGGAATATGAAAAGGTATGTTAACGATAAAGAATAGCAGCTGAACGTGTGCACATTAGGAGTCAATCAAAAGGAAAGCAAGCTATTCCTTCTCCAAAAGTAAATAATCAATTGCAAAAAAAAAAAAAAAAGTTAAAGGATTTATATCCCTAATATGTAAAGAGATTTTGTAAATAAGGAAAACAGTCAAAGCATCTAGAGGGAAATAGGCAAAAAGCATTCAAAGCCAGAAGATAAAAGGAGAAATGCAAATGTTTAATAAGCTGGAGAGACACATTTACCTCCATTAAAAAGAAGGGGAATGTAAGTTAGAACAAGATATCAAATTCACTTATCACATTGGCCAAACTGTTTGTTTTGTTTTGTGAGTTTTGGCTTAAGGCTGGAGAAATGAGCATTCTCATTCACTGCTGGAGGTATATATCATTTCTGGAAGCCAATACATTTACAAATTAAAGGTCTTAAATTATTTATTAAAATAGACAGAATTCCATGCTAAATATGAAAAATTTACAACCCATGTTTATGAATGAAAATAGTATATACATAAAAAGGATGACAAGGACAAATAAAAAAAGGATATTTTTTATTATTAATGGAATAAAATTAATAATTACTAATATCTCCATTTATTGTTCATGGAAAAGTTATGGCAATAGTACTTTTGGAAGAAGAAGGAATAGATGAGAGGTAACTGCATCAGGAAAAGCTACAACCGAAGCCCCTTTGGTGGGTAACACCACAGGAGAAGTGGTTTGCCCGCCTCTCAGGACTTGGCGGTACGAGGCACCACAGAGGTCTAGGGCTAAATACAGGAGGATCGGTTGAGAGACTGTATATAAAATAGCAAAACTCCAACTGTTCTCTTTCTTCCAGGATGGAAATGGAATGGTCATTTTCTAACAAAAGGTTCTGATACTATGAACACCCAAGTGGTAAAAGATGGATAAAAGGTGACATATTAAACCTGGAGGTCGCACAGGAAGGAAATGACTAACTCAGTGTATTAGGGATTGAAATGGAAAGATAGTTCAGGAAACTTAAACTTCTGCTCACAGAATGCTGGGAACCAGGGGTATAATGTCCCAGGCCAAAAACAGCTTTTCTGGAAAAACATGAACCATCCCAGAAAATAGACCGTGGGTATTGACCTAGAGAGATTCTCTAACAGAAGGGCCGACCTGATTCCCGCCCAGGCCCTGGGATCCCTGTCAGTCGACATGCCCTGCCTCTGGACATAGGGCTTCTTAGTGTCTTACTCAGATATGAACTGTCAGAAGTCACCCATTATTGAGGAAAATCTCCACCATAAAATAGAAAACTCAACCAGAAAAAGGAAACTGGTGTGGCACGGGGAAGAGATACCACGTGAAAAAGAACAAAATATGAATAACAGATTTAAATGAGAATTATCACATCTGTAATCAAGAACAAGACAACAAGAAAAACATAACAAGGAATAGCTCTTCGTTATTAAAAATATGAAATTAAATTTACTTTAGTGCAGATATAGAAAAAAGTGAAGAAAATTCTCCAGAAAGCAAAACAACAGCAAAAGTTAGAAAATAAGCAAGAAATGCTGAGTCATTTT